CTCTCTCTCTCTCTCTCTCTCTCTCTCTCTCTCTCCTACAGTTTTGTACACCGCAAGAGTTTTGTAAGAGCTTTTCTGTCTTTCCTTGTCACCGTAATACGCACACACACGCTTGTAAAGTGTACGTATGACATATAATATTAAACACCACGCCGAGGCGCATGCAGACGGTTTGTGTTTACCGCCACTGCGGGAAAATAATATTGCACAAGGGCGCGGGGCTCGTCGTTGCGGTGAAGAGATTTTTAGAGACGGTAGTGACATCGACGACGACAATATGCACCGGGTGCGGGTTATCCATTGTGCGGTGCGTGAATTTGACATGTTTGCCAGCCTAATCACCGACCCAGGCACGGGAGTGGTGACAGAAACACGCGTATAAGCGTTTTCCACTCTTTCTCGATCGTTCTCCCACCCCGTATTTTCTTTGATTCGGTATACGCGCACACGCCGGCACCGGTTTTGCGCGATTGCACCCCCGTCGTGTCATATTGCCTCCCCTAAACATCCCGTTTACCGACTACTGGTGTCGTATATATTTTTTATTTTTTTTTTTACTTTTTTTACACACATACTCGATTTTTTTTTCTATTTCGAATGTTGTAGTGTTTCGAGTTTTATTATATTTATTTCGAAAAACTCGATATCTAGAAAAATATTTTCGTATCTACGTGGCACAATCGTATGCAAATGATTTTCGATGCGAAACATACCATTTCAAACGTAACAATTATTTTACACTTTCGGTATGTTATACTGTATGCCTAGTTTTTTCAGATATCTTGTAGGCGTTTAAATTATTATTTTTTCAAGATACGGTTCGAGGGAAAAAGACCTACAATTTTTCATATCATACGTCGATTTCATTTAACAATCATTTGTATTTCGTGAAGTATATAGTTACTGGCAAAAATAAAAGTTTGGTAGAGCGCAGTTCTTTGAATTTCCCTTTATTCACGATTAAGTGTCTACGGTATAGATCATAAGTTACGCAAAAGTATTGCATACAAATTGTTTTCATTCTTTAGAATTAATTACTTTACAGCTGTGTCTTTATTGAGCTACATAACAGTTTTATGCAAATTTCTTAGAATAATAAAAAACCATACAAATCGAAAAAAATGAATTTATACTCGAAAGTTTTTTAATTACCCCAGAAATATTTTAATATTACTCAATTTCTTGATGTTTATGACACTGTATAGAATATTATTAGTCTTAAATTTAATGGAATTATACATTCTTATTGATATTATTTTTATTAGGTCATGTAAGTAACTTCTTCAAACATTGTAAATGTTTTGAAAATATTTTCAACATAACCACAATTTTTAACACAGTAAGAAATGTTGACATAATTTTTACTTGAATGTTTAAAATATGCATGATTGTCGAAATTGCTATTAAATAATATTTTATACGTATAATTTAATACATTCTAAGTATATTGCTAAAATAATATACAAGAAACTGCAATAGATACCCAATATTGTGGAATGTTGGAGGTGGCTGAAAGACCACTGATACTCCGCTTATAAGTTTAACTGCAAGAGTATCTTGAACATGACTAGCTATACAAAAGTAATATAAAAGAACTATTGGAATACAACACAATATTGATTCTCCTGTTAATAACTCAACAATATTTGTTCACGTTTAAGTGGTTAATGGTAATTTTTACTTTGATTGCATATTGATACTTTATAAGTGATGGTTATAGAAAATGTGTTTCACAGTTATTAGTACCGTGCCTAGTGTAAAAAATCTTTTTTAACGCCCTCATCTTTCTACAAAAAATGTTTGAACATATAATTATAGCTAAACTTAAACTATAAGGAGACTGCATAAGAATATGCGGTGTTATGTAACTACTTATTTTGTATTTATTAAATTAATAAAAAAAATAATCGACGAATATAGAACAATATAAGTAATATAACTGATTCTTTGATGCCATGTTTCCTCACTCTGGTCTACCTACTTGAACAAGTTACCCGCAAATTTCGTTTCTAGATTTAAATATAAGTTCCCGTTATATCAGACAAAGTATGGTTCAACGATCTCACTCTTTCCAGATCCCTCGTAATTAAATTTAACCGATTACGCACTGGCTATAATCTCTTACCATGTTGCTTGCAAATTAAATCTTAATGATTCCCTTCCTGTGGTGCAATTATCGGAAGTATTGGGTGTACATTCCACAGAGACCCCCGGTTTTGTGGAGCCTCGAGATCTCTTCTGATATAACCTTTGTCCCCTACAATATTTCTACTATAATCTGTAATATACACTATTATATTGTTTGTTTTAGTATAATAACAATGAATAATAATATAAGT